GTGTGTGTGTGTGTGTGTGTGTGTGTGTGTGTGTGTGTGTGTGTGTGAGACTACAAACGTTTTCGACATCCTACCTACCAGTGTATTTGGTATGGACAGTTAAACTGGGGACACGATTTGTGTTGCCAGCTTGATTTTGATACAGTTGCAGTCGATCTACCCAAATGTCCTGTAGGAGTTAAAAGAATAGTTTGACGTTTTAGAAAAATCCTTTTTCTGAGAGCACAGCTCTATAAAGAGCGTCGAGCGTCCCGAGAGTTAACGACGCTCATGTTCATTAGTTGCAAACGGATATATTCAGTTCACAAAAAGAGCAACCTTTTAGTGCGTTCATGCACAACACTGTTTCCCAAAATGTTGAGCTAGTTGATCAACCAATATATTCCCGTTTGTCTCCCTAGCTTAATCCAGTCACACACCTGTTGCACAGGTATTGCATCTTCAATACAGCGTCACATTCTTTACAAAATGTGACATGCAAAACTGCATAAAAGTCGCCGCCCGTAACAGAGCTACTTCCCATGATGCGTTGAGTGCATCCCCTAATGGGACAACTGATTCTCCATCCTGTTCACAGCAATCAAGTGAGAGCCTTCTGGAAAGAGGCACGGAAACCTCTGCTAATCCCATCAACATGAGGTAACATGAGAGTTTGAGGGCCTGGGAATCACTTAAGCCAGAGGTGTCTTCCTGTGCTTCATATTAGATTTGGCTTTGCCGTAATCACATTCACGGCCACTTCTGCTGCGATTCCTGCACAAGTGTGATTTGATTTGCGTTTGAGTTGTTAGCCAAAGAAGATATTCCTTTTGTATTCTTCTTCTTTCCTTTTTTCGTCAGCTGTTCATTTGAGTCTTACACCAACGCTTCTGATGTTTTCCTATACAGGTATATCTGGGCCAAGACGGCCAGGTGGAGGTATACGCGAACACGACGATCCAGCTCAACTCGCCCATAAACGGTGACCTTTTATTGGACCAGACTGGAGCACACATCTACGTCATGACCAAAACTACTGTAAGTATACAAATGTAACACTTAGAGGTGGTGAAATGCCATTTTCTGTTTATAGCCTTCGCTTTTCTTTGAACTACTCAACAGATGTATGAACAGCCGTGCCCTTCTTGGTGCATCTGCCCAGTAAACCACTCGCCCAGATGTCTCCATACACAAGATCTGAACATGGCTTGTTATTCATCGTCAGACAAATGATCGTTCGTCAGAGTTTTTTCAGGCTTTGATACTTCCTCAAGCTGTGTCTCTCTCGCACAGAAATAGGATAATAGAATAAGAGGCAATGAACATAAGAGAAAACCGAGAGGCCAGCTGGTTGTGGGGGTCAAAGGCCACTAACCCCGCTGCAATGGGTACAACAGTCAGCAGGGGGTGTAGGTCAGAAATAACGATGGTATTGATCAGGGAAAGTGGCCTCCATTGTGTTGGCACGCTCCCTACTGAGTGTGGAAGCCATAGATGCTGATGAATGGGTATAGGAAACTGCCAGTCTATACATTGAATGGCTAGTCTCAATCCCAGACCACTGATGGCCTTCATCTAATCGAGTTATATTTAACATGAATCTATAACAAAATATGATCACAAGCATTGCAGTTGTCCTAGAGCTACTGATGTGTGCCATGAGCTGATTTAAGTTTAGTTTCTTGGATTTAGAAATGTTATTATATTTTGTGTGCGCGTGTGAGCAAAGACAGTGAAGCACAGATTCTCTGGCTAGATAAATAACACAATCAAAACAAAGTAGAAAAAGATGAGAAGATTGAATAGTATATAAAAAACAACTATAGCAATCACTACTTCATAGCTATAGCAAGTTTATTTCTATGGCACGTTTTGTACACAAAATTCAGTGTGCTTTACATAAATAAATAAAAAGAATCATCCGTACATAAAATGTGATTGAAAGATCATTAAATAGAGTATAATGTAATTAAAAGACAAAACGTATAAAATATGGTACAAAATAATCAATAAGTACATAAACAGAATAGAATAAATACATTACACAAACATAGCAGCTACATTTCTAGGTACATGAAAAGAGAAATTTATTTATTTGGTGCACATCTTGTGGCAGTTTGTTCCAGTTGTGTGCCCCATAGCGGCTAAATGCTGCTTCACCATGTTTAGTTTGGACTAAGTCCATGGATCTAAGAGCCCTGCTCGATTTATATCCTTTTAGAATATCAGAAATGTATTCCTAAACCATGATTTTTTGTTTTCTTTGTAGCAGTAGTTTAACATATCTATTCTGTAACTAACTGGAAGGGAAGCCAGTGTAAAACTTTCAAAAGTGGAGTTCTGTGCTCTGTTCCCGTAGTCCTGGGTAAAACTCTAGAAGCAGCATTCTCAACGAGCTGCAGCTGCGTCATGCTTCCTATGGGAAAACCAATTAAGAGGCCATTGCAATAGTTCATCCTACCGGAAATAAAAGCATGGATGAGCTTCTCATGGTCACTTTGGGACACCAGATCTTTCTTTCTTATTCAGATGATGGAAGGCTGTTTTAGTAGCTGCTTTGATATGACTGGTGAAAATGAGATCTGAACGCCAGATTTCACGCTTGGTTTTTGGTTTTTAGAGCCCGAGATTGGAGTTGTTTATTAATAGTGATTATCTTCTCTTTGTTGGCAAACACAATAATGTCATTTTTTCCTCATTTAGTTGAAGGAAGTTTTGGCTCATCCAATTATTTGGATAATGGTGAGAGGACTAGATATATCCGAGTATCATCTGCATAACTATGATAATTAATGTTGTAGTTGTGTGTGTGTGCATGCATGTAAATGAAAGAAAGAACACAAGTTGGTTATCTAGGAATTCAAAAGTCTGAGAAAAGCCAGGAAGTGAACCTTGAGTTTTATTTTCAATCTTTAATTTCATTGTCAAGATAACTTTGAGACTACACAGACTCCACTGGTACCATATCTAGCTAGCGGAATATCTGTGAGCTAGCTAGTATTGTTATTGGCATTACGCTTTCCTAGCCAACAATCGATGACTAGCATGATTAGACTATAATCTTAGCTGCAAGAGCACTAAAATGCAGTTAAGCCTACACACTGAAAGAGACAAGTGGTAGAAGAAGCAACATCAACAGGTAATGGAATGGACCGTAACAATCTCATTAGTAGCTGAGAAAATGTGTCAAATTTGAAGCTCTAGCTTACTAGCGGTTAATTATCTTGGTAGATTTGATGGGGTAGTATCGCACATTTGAATTTGGAAGGCTAATGTTAACGTTAGCTAGTCAACATGGATAACTACAAATGGCGAGACAGCTTTTTCAGTCAGCTTGCAGCTGGCTCAAAAACTCCTTGGCCTTGAACATTATTTAATTATTACTTGCCTGTACCTATCCAGGTAAGCTAGTTCGCTACAAGCTAAGTAGTATTGGCTACAATGAAAGCAAATATAAAGTCATTTTTACTCTATCGATTATGTTTTTTTTAAAGAGCGTTACATATGAAAAATGGAGCTGGAAACCATGGAAGCGAATTTACGTGTCCGCACAACCAAAGTGACGACACACCCTCAGACACGGACCTTGCAGGGGTTCCCTGCGATGAGTTTTTTGCATGTCTATGCACATCCAACATTTTTTTTAACAAAGTGGATGCAAACGGGCAGAGCGTAACCAAGGCCGAAGTGCTCTCCAGGATTTGGCGAATAGTTCTAGAACGGCAATGATTATTCTGCTTACTCAGTCAGTATGTAAGTCTATAACGATATGGTTGACAATCAAAAGAAATCCAAGGCACTCTGATGTAAGTTAAAGATCTTTTATGAGGTCTCATGCCTTAATGAAGGACTCAGATTTCTCTGAATCGCTAACCACAAGGTTATTGAACTCCACACTGATTGTGAGTGAGCTGAGCAATCATAGCTTTGTTCTTGTTCATGCCGGGGAATGATGAATGATGATGCAGTGAGTTTCCAAAGATAAAGTAGTGCAGCAGCTTTTGCGATGAAGTGTGTTAGAATGTTTTACTTTATTAGTCTTATGAGGAGACCGTGAAGGTTAAAATGACACGATCACCCCTAGCAGCACACCCCTGGTGTCCGCCTAAATTCACCACATGGATCTGTCTTTGAGTTCTCACTTACCTGTAATTTTCAGGTCGAAAAGCTTCCGGTGGCAGAATGCGGAGACCACCTGGACTGTCAATCCTGTCTGTCTGCCAAAGACCCCTACTGTGGCTGGTGCGTCCTGGAGGGACGGTGAGTCAGTAGACATGTAACGGCGGGGCTACTGCCAATGCTCACTTGCGTCCCCGTCTCCCCCCATCTTCTTTTGTCTGTTCCTTGTCTCTCTCACCTCCCCGTGTTGTTTCAGGTGTGGCCAGCTTTGGGAGTGCCAGCGAGGGTCCGTGCGGGGCCAGTGGCTGTGGAGCTTCAACCAGACGCAGCAGTGCCTCGGTATCCAGCGCCTTAGCCTCTACAACATCAGCCGCGGGGAGAAAACCGATGTAATGCAGGGGGAATCTGTTTCCGGTCACTTTCCTTTTCTTTTCCATCTCGCTGCTCTCTTTTCTTGACGCCCCTGTCCCATTCTGTCTCCCTCCCTTCAGATTACGGTGTCGGTAGAGGGCCTCCCAAGTCTAGGAAAAGGAGAGGCCTACTCTTGCTTTTTCCAGGACACGGAAGCTCCTGCTTCACTCACTGACACCGGTGTGATATGCTCGACCCCTGAAGCCGGCAGCCTGCCTCCCATTACTCACGGAGATGGTGAGTACTTTCTGAATTTGGTCAGTAATTGTACCCAATGGGACACCTTTTTTTTTCAGTATGCACAAAACATTAAGGGTGTCACGATACTCCAAATATATGATTCCATTAGACTCAATAAAAAAGGACTGAAGGCTATGCCATTGCTAGGTTATGAAATCTTGATTTCGTCCGTCCGTCCGTCTATTGAGCCGCTAGATGGCAACAGCATGCGTGGTGGTGAGGCGGTGTACAATACGATACGGTGCATGTATGATAGCCTGCAAACTGTAGTTTTTCTGTCAATGTTCCTTGTTTACATAACTTCTGGGGGAAACCAAATTTTGCCACACTGATTACTTCAGGGAAGCAGGATTTTCCAGTTCTGTTGTTTCTCTGTCATCTCAGAATCCAGCAGTGGCTGGACTCTAGAAAAGTGCAGATGGAGGCTACCAGTAAGCTACGCTACTTCGTAGTTTTTTTTTTTAGAAAAATGGACAGGGGGGCGGGAATATAAAAAACTACCGGGAGAATTGACGATCCTGCTTTTCATATCGAAGCGCCATTTTGATCGATTTTCAATAGACACTCGAAGTTGCAACACCTCTATGTACGCAAAGTTGAGTGCAACAAGGAAATTTACAAAACTGCCAAAGCAGCACTGTGATGCTCATAAATAATGACACACAAGCTGGTTAGATCCTTTGAAGTCGACATATATTCGTTCTGATGCAGAGTTCGTGATGGTGGCCCTGTCGCTGCGTTTCACTAACGTGACTGTAGCGGAGACCGAATTCACGTTCTACAACTGCAGCTTGGTGCAGCAGCTCTCTGGACGCAGGCCGTGAGTACACACACACACACACACACACGCACATCGATGCATAGTTTATTTTTTTAAATTACCATTCCTACACATTCACTATATGTTGTTTGGGGGAAAATAGCATTTTTTGTCACTTATGTTTTTTTTGTTTGTTCTGCCTGTACCCGTGCTGTGTGCGCCGCTAGATGCCAAGGGTGTGTCAGCAGTCGCTGGGGCTGTAAGTGGTGTATCCACCAGCACGTCTGCACGCACCAACACACCTGCAGCCGTGGGGTCACCATCTACAACCACAATGTGAGTCAACGTTGAGTCTGTTAAATAGTATTACCTTATATTCAGAGATTTTTATTTTGTCAAACATCATTAACATCAATAAGGGGGCACATTATTAAGAGTATAATATAATTTGCAGCCTCCGACCAAGGAACACATTTGAATCAAAACCTTTGTCAAACTGTTTTATCAAAAACAAAACATTACATCCTTTATGAAAGTAGGGTTAGTTGCAGGAGAGTTGTTAGACTGCAATAGTTTTAGCTAGGTGTTTACTGTATATTTAGTGTCATTAAAAGGCACTAGGTTTGTTTTGCTGAGCATGTATCATACTGCACTGTGCAACATGCTGCACATATTAGTGTGTTTATGTCTGTTCACTCTGTTTGGTGTAGTTTGTCTTTTTTACCATACATCTTTGTTTTTTTTCTCCACCCATGAGTTGCTTCTCAATGTATTTGCATACCCTTTCTTTTTTTTTTTAATTTTTTCTTCCCCTGCTTTTTTTTTTTTTTTTTTCTTGTCCCCCTCCTGTCCTCGCTTTGTACACTTGTGCTTCTCCATCGTCAAGTTCAAACCGCCAACACCCACCATCCCACCACCCACCAGAAATCTGACCCCTTTACCTCCTACTGTCCGTGCTGCTGCAACAACAACACAGCCATCACTCACAGAGACTCCTACCCCCACCACAGCAGCTGTCCCTTTAACCTCCACCGCAGTGACACCACCCACCACCCCTACCGCCAAGCCCACCTCCCCCCTCACCCTGGCCGCAACCTCCCCCTTTGTCGGGATCTTCAGCCAGGCCACTACGACGCACACCGATGCCCCCACCACAAGCAAGGGAACGACAGAGGGAAATGGCGGCATTGCAAGTTTCTCAGAGGACGAGGAGACCGAAAGCTGGAATATCACTGACAAAACCCCCCACACTACGTTACCCAGCAGCACTAGCGAAAAGGTAGACCGTGATGTGGGGTTTTTAGAGCCGTCTGGCGAAGCGTTAGGCTCTTCCTCCGACGTAAGCCCGACCACCTCCAGAGAAGTGTCCCGTTTAATAGACCTCTCTATCAGCGACGCTAAGGACGCCATTCCTCCGGTCAGCTATGAAGAGAATGACTCCCCTCTGTGGTTGAGTGAGTGGGAGGAGCCCGCCGTGGACTCCGCAACAGGTCCATCAGTTGCTGGCGCCAGCGAAAAGCCGCCCATCTTCACACAACCACCTGAAACAGTTTTCGACCCCATCTCTGAGTATGCAGCAGACTATCAATTAGATTCATCGACCAACTCTTATTTTCCGGTGAGTGCAGAAGCCTCGCGTGCAGCTAGTCTAGAAATCATACCGCGCTCCAGTTGCCATGAGAAACTGTTTAAAGTCCCAGTGAAACGACGTGTTCCACAGTTAAACCGAATATCTCAGCGGTGTGCATTTCACCTGAGGGGTCTAAATCAAATCCTGTGCATTTGATTGCACCGCTAAAGAAAGTGGGCGGGCTTAGAGTTTAGCGCGATACGGAGCTAGGGAGGACTGTTTGCTCCTCACACACACACACACACACCTCCCTCGTTGTTGAGAGATATGGGAGGGACACTTCCCCGCATTACATGTAGAAGAATGGCACCAGGCCTCCCTCCGTGCCACCAGCGCCCGAGCTCCGCTCTCATCCGGCGGACATCCGCTTCCCTTGAATGAGTAAGACCTCAGCCACATTGTTTTTGGAAATGAAAACAAAGTTTTTACCCACAGATATCCAAACACACATTTCTTACTATCTCTCCTTATTGGTTGTATTAACAATCAACAAACAGCAAAGAGCGGTTTTATATGACTGGTTAGGCCAAAGTCTCATTTGATTGGATTATTTTTTCCTAATTGCCCCTGAGTGCAGGATGGGTCATCAAAGATTTGACATCATAGCAGAAGCTAAAGACACTAACTCACTCTTAAAAGTGAAACCAATGCAGAAGATCCTTAAAGCTGCATTCTCTCTAGTGACCAGCAGGGGGCGACTCCTCTGGTTCTATAGAAGTCTATGAGAAAATGACTCTACTTCTCTCTTGATTTATTACCTCAGTAAACATTGTAAACATGAGTTTATGGTCTCAATCTCTAGTTTCAAGTCTTCTTCAATACAGCATGATGTTCATTTAGTAAATGATGGTCCATTTAGAGTCAAATAGACCATAAAGCAGGGGATGCTTTAGGGCGGGGCTACCTGGTGATTGACAGGTCTCTACCAATGCATTGTCTGGTCTGTTTGTCCAGGTTTTTTTTGTCTTACAGCTTCCCCCTTTTCACAGTGTTTACAGTTCATGAAAGTTATTTCTTGTGATTTCTGGTTGCAAAAAACCAAGATGGCAACGGACAAAATACCAAACTCAATGCTTCAAAACTGCCCTCTCTAACTCCAGTTCCACTGGGACTTCAAAGGAAAGGTTGTGGGAAATACTATTTTGGGCTTTCTTGCTGAGAGTTAGATGAGAACGATGCCACTCATTTATACGTGTTAAATATGAAGCGACAGCCAGAGAGCGCTTAGCTTAGCTTAGCATAGAGACTGAAAGCCAAGCCGGACAGATTATAGAGTGGTATCCATCTTCTGATCTTGGACTAAAAAGTGCATTGCCCAAACTGTGGACATTTTCCTGTAAAAAAAACACATGATAATTAACCCAAGAACATCTCAGCCTTAATCAACAGTAAATATATAACTACTTGGTCCTCATTCTACAGCAAGGCCAACAATGACGAATACTGAATTCTGCACTGATAATCTTTATTAGCTCTCCTGTCAACAAGAGAGGCCAATCACAAAATCAATGTCATCTCAGATGCGAGGATGGAACTGAGAAATTCGAGGCACTTAACCCGACAGGTCTTATTGACTCGTCCACTCACTCCACTCACTCCACTCCACTCAGCGAGAGCTGCACTTCCTCCCTTGAGCTCAAGAACATCATGACATTTTCATGTCCACGTTTCTCGCGCTTCACTCGAACGTCTGATGTTTCATCTATGTGGTGTGTTTTTGTGACTGTGGTCGCTGAGTTATTGTTTAAATAGATTTGGAGGAATGGAGAATGCCCAACTTCATAGTTGGTAAGGAGGAATAATTAAGAGAATGCAAAAGTTCTCAGCAGTTTAGACCCACCATGTACAAATGATTATGTAGTGTACTTGTTCACAGAGACCCCTTTGAGCAGGATCTAGATATAGGTTTATAAAGTGAAGCTGTATCTTTCTCATTGAAATGGTCAATAATGTTTCTTCAGGAGTGTCCGTGTGTGGAGAAAGTTCAGGATTCCTCTCTTCTCCCTGTCAACGTGGAGAGGAAGGTCACTCTGGTGGGACAACACCTGAACCTGTTTCAGGTAATGTAGCCATCTACTGTCTTGTCTTAGCACTAAAGGTGGGGTCAGCCATTCTGGAGAAAGACTTGATGTTTGAACTCAACCACCCGAACAAATAACACTCTTCTCCAGATATACCGTCCCCTCTCGCTCCCACTGCCTTTCTCTTTACACACCCATGGCCTTTCCCCTCTCCTGGCTGGAGGACTGTTTGTTTCCCATTCACACTGTATCAACACGGCGCACTCACAGCGCACTGATGGACAGAAAGTGTATTGAGCTAGAATCGTGAGGTGCACCTTTTAAAGCTGTAATCATGCAGGTTATTCATACATCGTATAGCTTCAGCTACAAGGGTTCAGGGATTTGTTTACATGTTATTATCAATAAGTAAGTCTTAAAGGTAAAAGAAATACATATTCTCCCTCTTACCTAGATAGAATCTAGATAGATAGCACTACAGGTAATGCTATCTATCTAGATTGTTTTGGCGTGAGTCTCCAATATAATGCAACTAGATGGCTATCGTCTTGCTCAAAGTGCCAGAATACTACTTTTTTTTCAGAAATAATGACGCTGTCACTCTGGATAATCCAGACCTCGTTGTGAGCAGTTTCATGCTGGAACTCGGGTTGAAGGAAAATAGTTCCTACATGAAACTGCTTCTCCGAAACTAGGCAACTATGTTGACCTGTCCCTTTAAAGTCCAAGAGAAGCTTTACAAACATTTAGTAAAGTACATTTTCTGTTTCAGTTTATATTAACACAGCACATCATAATAAAACAATGATAAACTATATTTGTATAGCACATAATAATAATAATAAACTTAATTGTATAGCACATACTAATGCAATACTAATAACCTTGATTTCAATAGCGCATAATAAAAATAATAGTAACAATACACTTTATTTGTTGTATAGTACATAATAAAAATAATATATTAATAATAATTATGTTAATTTGTATAGCAAACAATAATAATACAATAATACCAAACTTTATTAGTATAGGACCTTTCATACAAGAAATGCTGCTTAAAGTGCTTAAAGGAAGACAGACATAAAATGAACATTAAAAAATACTAGTTATAGAGATATAAAGGCTCAAATGAGTTGTTATGCATACTGCCATAACAAAACGTGCATTATTATGTAAAGTCTTCACACAACTTCATAAGCTTTTGCAGTGATACATCAGTTCTCACTGTGCCCCTACTGAGAGGGTGTGTCCGTTCACTTCCATGTGTGTGGTGTTCACATGTAGGACAAGAACCTGGACTACGAGTGTGTGCTGGACGTTGAGAATCAGTCAGTGGTGGTGGACGCCTCCGTGGAGCCGGACGCCACTCAACCATCAGCCTTCTTTATCACCTGCCAACCCCACCAGGTCAGAACACGTCTCAATGTAGTGATCCATCTCGTGTTGTTGTGTTTAGTCCTGGGAATATTTGTGTCTTTTTTTTTTTACCGCCCTTAAAAACTTTGTTTCAGATCTTTGAAAGTATTTCTCCAACAACATTAAATATACATGACTTAATAATCAACAATCACAGTACGGCTGTCATAATGTCAGATTTTCACTACATGATAATCGACAAAAGCATTCATGTTAACGATATCATTGTGACAAAATAATAATAATAATGCTATTAGTTAAATATTCCTTTAACTTTGTTATTGTGTTTTTTCTCTTTTGAGGCAAATATATTACACTCATAATACGAGTGTAGGGAGGAGGAGAAAGAGCCTGTAACCATAACTGTTTATAATATGATTTTTGAAAATAATATATAATAATTTATCATGTTCAATATTAAAATGATATTCATATTTCATGTCTAAATATCACGTTTATCTGAGCTCTTAAACCAGGTGTGTCCTCTCTCTCTAAATGTAAGGTCAAGTGATACCAGTATGTTTAAGTCTCATTTTTAGAGTTCTAAGCATATTTTGATGATTATCAGGATCGGATCGCGAATGATTAGTTTGGCCTGAAAAAATCGTGACTTGAAATTTTCACATAGTAATAAGCTGATTGAGAAAAACAGGCCTTTTATATCACAAAGTAAACACAATAAATACTTGGACGGGTTATGTTTTCAACAAAGTCCTGAATTTAAAATGTGATTTTCTTTCTTAATTGAGTTTTTTTAGCCATGGTGGCTGTTGTTCCCATGCTAATCACTCAGATCTTCTTCAGTGTATTTCAAACAGTTGGATTTCATTCATCACTCCCAGCGTGCCGGCAAATGTACCATCTTTCATAGATTGAGTCCATAGCGAAGCAGCAAAACAAGAACTTGCCTTTATGAACTGTTTGATTGACATTTGTCAGTCCCGATCTGATGGTGTAACCCCCCCCCATCCTGTAGCATCCATAATGACTGTAATTAGTGGTGTAACGGACCACAGTCGATCCGTACGATCCCCCTCACAGTTCCTCACGCATGTAACCGCAGAGTAATGACACAGTATAACATTAACCATCACAGTGTGGAATAAAGCTTTACCAACGATCATTATTCACCAATATTCAGTCAAATATGTGATCAGGACATCATTTATGCTTTTTAGTCGCTGATCTCTGATAACGTTACAATGTTAACAACCAATCCATGTTTAAATTGACAGATACAGTATAGTGACATTAGCAGTGCCGCTAACGGCTAACGATAGAAGGTTCTGTTCAGTTACATTATGATGCATTCAGGCTCTGTTCAGTAACATTATGATGCATTCAGGCTCTGTTCAGTTACATTATGATGCGTTCAGGCTCTGTTCAGTTACATTATGATGCGTTCAGGCTCTGTTCAGTTACATTATGATGCGTTCAGGCTCTGTTCAGTGACATTATGATGCGTTCAGGCTCTGTTCAGTGACATTATGATGCGTTCAGGCTCTGTTCAGTGACATTATGATGCGTTCAATGTGATCTCATAAAATGTAGTGTTGGTGAGTAACCTGAATAAATCCAGTAGTTTGAAGGAGATGTTTTCACAACAACATAAATGGATATTAGAGATGAATTATGAGCTGTTTACACTAGCTCTAATAATACAATATAATCATGTACGTCTGCATCTCCATGTGTTTCATAAGCTCTCGTAGCCGGATCATTTGACACACGCTGGTATACCATCAACTCATATACCACATCACAAATATGTCTGCTGGTTCTGGTTTCAGTACGCCTACTCTTCCTCGATGGAGGAATACCCGGCCACCATCAACGTGAGGAGGAAGAACTACTTCCTCATCGACAGCGCCGAGGATCTGTACGGTGCGTGTTTTATGCCGGCGTGTCCGAGACGTGTTGTTTGACGCCAAATAATGCCACTCCCTCACAGAATTTTCCCCGTCTCTGTTTTATTTCAGTGACTCTGTTCAATTGTTCAGTGGGGCGGTCGGATTGCAGCCGGTGTCGCACCGCCGACCACAAGTACGGCTGCGTCTGGTGCGGCGGGGCTGCCGGCTCTCGCTGTGTGTACCGGGACTCTTGCGCTGAGGAGGTCAAACATACCTGCCCCGCGCCCGTCATTCACTTCGTAAGTGTTATTCGCCCTTTCTTTGGAACGCAAAGGGCCACTGAGACGCTACAGATGTGTTTTTGCTTTGCTTTCTGTTGTTCAAAAATACGAGGCGATGATCAGGATGTACGTTTCAAACATCTGGTCCTTTTGTGTTCCAGCTGGACCCGGTATCCGGTCCCGTGGAGGGAGGGACGGTCGTGACTATTTCAGGCTCCAACCTCGGCCAGAGAAGTGAAGACATACAGAACTCAGTCACGGTGGCCGGGGTCCCCTGCAGCGTCATCCATAGCAGATACGAAGTCTCCTCGAGGCGAGTTGTGCTGTTACTCAAGGATGGGCAAATTCTAGTTTGGAGGTCAAAGGTCTCACGTCTGTGACGTTCTAGCAGCGTCTCGGGGAGCGCATCGAGTGTAATTCCCTCAAATTTTGCACAAACATCCACTTGGTGCTTTAGGACACATTGATTAGAATTCGGAGGTCAAAAGGTCACTGACTTGATAAAACATGCGTTTGGTCTGAACCCAAGATGTCATCTGCTAATAAGATAAAAGGCTGACGTGATGGTGGGCGGAGGCACACAGCAGCGATGCGGCGTTTGTAGTTGTAATAGTGACCATCGTACGTCTTGATCCCGCAGGATAGTGTGTGAGACCACGGGCAGCGGAGGAGAGAGGAGCGGCCACGCCTCGGTCAAAGTGAGGGGGGGAGGAGTCGGACTGTCCGCTCAGATCTTCAGCTTCCAGGTAAACGCCTCAATAGTCAGTCACGTTTACAAGGAATGAAAACTGGAAATCAGCTGACATTTGTTCATGCAGGTTAGGTGTATAACTGCTGCAGAGCTGTCACCACAGTTCTACCACACTGCTTCTGGCGAGCACACTTCTCCTTAATGTTTAACACCAGATTATTGTCATTTTTAAACTAATAGTATTTAAGTATGAAGATAAGAAAGGAAAATTAAATTTTTTCAAACCAATGATGACTACGTCCACTTCTTATATACAGTCTATGGTCTGTACTAATACTAATAAAGACACCCAGTTATATGAATAACATGTAACTTGCATTCTGTATTTTTACTGTGTCCATTTTTGATAACAAGATGCGTTTGTATTATTTATTCATGATTTGCGTCTGTGTCCATTGATGTTGTGATTGTGAATTCATTATTTAATAACCCACAATATGAATACGGTGTCTTTCGGAAATTATTTATTAGGCTAAATGTTTCAGGGAAAATTTTAATTTTGTAACTCGTATCAAAACCCGTCGCTCAGGAAGTATCAGCCTCGCTTGACTCGATGTAAGATGAGGGTCGATTATGTAAAAAAAGTGTTTGTCTCGCTTCTCTCTCTCCTTTTTTTGTTCAGTTCTTTGATTAACTCAGACGTTTAACTCGATGGCGGATCAGAGAACAAAACAAAAAGGCCGTTGTGTTCTCCTTTAGTGCAGAAATAGGAGCTTTGAGAAGTCTTTAAGGTGGCGAGGACATATCAAATAAGAGACTTGGGACGCCCCCAAGGAGTTGACAGTGACTGCACTCGTGCATGAAAGCTTTTCAACTTCAAACACCTCTTTTACGGCTGACCCTAAAATGAAGGATTGACTTGATCACTTGAGGACTTTTATGAGACTTCACTTCATGTAGCCACAAAAGGCGAGCATATTTAAGTGCATGCAAAACAAGCGACTATTCCAGCAGCGTCGTATAATTATGCTGAAGCAAGTAAACAAGCGGTTAAAAAACAAAAAAGTGAAGACGTCGCGAGCATTTTCACACCCAGGTCACAAGCAGCACGCACTTTCAAGGTGTGTGTGTGTGTGTGTGTGTGTGTGTGTGTGTGTGTGTGTGTGTCAGAGTAAAGCACGACTCCGCACTTCGTGCAAAGACACAGAGAGAGAGAGAGAGAGAGAAGGTTTGAGACGTGCTCTTTTCTGCGGAGATCATTTATAAAGTACCGACAGCAGAACCGTTAACTCCGGACCTTATCAATACTCTGGTATTTTACTAGTTTAGAACCAAGTTTCGGGGGGGCACCCCTACACATGGATGTGTATTTTGGATGTTTTCTCTGCACTCGTCTGAATGAAAACATGTTATGGAAGCAGCTCCCACATGGCTTTCATTAATCAGGCATCACTTGGAACTGTGCCGTGTGAACCACTGCAATGCACTGAAGTCACAGCAGCACGTCTCCTCATTACCATAACAGCACAAGCACTGTAGGTTGACTTAATTAATTAGTCCGAGTGACAAGCAAATTAATTGCTGTACTCAGCAGGCTGTGAGGCGACCTTCTAGCGTTTTCCCAGAATGCCCCTGTGTCTCTTTTATCTGCCCGATAAATCACCAGCTCAGTATCGGATTATTGATCGTATGTTTTCTGTTCCTCTCTCTTGTGCATCTTTTGCATTTTATCCTGTACATCGTTCTTCTCCTCGTCCCTCCACCACCAGGATCCCGTTCTGAGCGACATCTTCCCACAGAGAGGGCCCAAGGCGGGGGGCTCCTCTCTCACCATCAGAGGCCGGAGACTGAGGACCGGACACCCGAGCGAGGTCGGTGTCCTGATCGGAGGAGTGCCGTGCGTGGTGTAAGTGTCTCCAATCCACAGTGATTTAAGACTATTTTGAGTTATTAACATTAAGAGTTATGAAGGCAGACTTTCTCTTTCTATATTTGGAATACAATTGGTAGAAATGTAAAAAATAAATAAAAAAAGTTCTCTCTCTGTTCAGGCTCAACATCCAGGAGGGTCAGATCAGCTGTCTGACCAGAGGCAGCAACAGAACAGGAGAGCATGGCATCACCGTGCGGTTTGGTGGCACAGAGCGCCACCTACCGGGTCTGGTGTATCATTACACCCCCAACCCCAACATCTCAATGGCTGCTCCCTCCAAAAGCTTCCTCAGGTGCTTATCAGTCTCAACAACGCAATCTTGACCCATGCACATAATCTAGATTGCATAACTGCTGTGCTGACGTGATAGTCTATCTTAAGCTTGTGGCGTGGACACTGTGACTTTTGAACATCTTACTTTAGGCAGAAATCTATCGAAGAAGTATTTGTCTGTCCTGATCGTCATCTAAAGGTCATGACGAGGAATCTTTTTCTTCTTTTCCACTACTCTGTCCTTCAGCGGAGGCCGAATCATCAGGGTCTCTGGTCAGAACCTGGATGTGGTGCAGGAGCCGAAAATGAGGGTGACCCTCAGTCCCCCTGATACTCTTCCTCCCAGGAGGAGGAGGAGTGCCAGAGGGAGGAGCGAAGTGAGCCCGACCGGAGGACGTGATCATCAGGGTCCACTGAAGAGATGGAGGAGGATCGTCCCGGAGGCGGACTGCCCCGAGGGTGCGCTGTGTCACGTCAAACAGGTATGAATCATACAGCTGTGTGCATCTGTGAGCTTTTCTTTACACCTGGAAAGCAAATGAGCGTAAGAAAAATAAGGTTGTAGTCATAAATACAATTCAGAATGGAGAGTAGGGATTATGATCACAATTTACCTTTGATTTCTTTTGTCTTCATTGTTATTATTATTTTTTCCAAAACCATTTTCATAAATGCAGATTTCCAAATGTACAATTTAGAACAAAAAAAAATCTGTATTAAAAAAAATAACAAAGGATGAACTGGAAGAAAATATAACCATTTTCTCTACGTAAGTATATCTGTACATATACAGTATGTATTCACACATACATATACATCATTTTCACTTAAAAAGCTCCTATTTCTATGTTTTATTGCTCCTCCCCTCCAGTACGAGACTCGCTGCACAGTCAATGGCTCCACCCTCATCCTGTGTCCGACTCCGGCGGTGGGTCCAGAGGCCAGGAGGGCCCGGGTCAAAGTTCACTTCCTGTTGGACAGCCTCCATTTTGACTTCGGCACCGTGGGGAACGGGGCCTTCAGCTATGAGCCCAACCCACAGCTCTACCTGCTGAACCAGAACGATCCCAGCAAACCGTACCACCACAAACCCGGCAGCATCATCTCCGTCGAGGTGGGCGCCAATAACTACAATGCAGTAATAATAGTAATCCCCACTTAAACTCCCGATATACTTTGTAAATATTGTAGTTTCACTCATTTCAAATCTCCCCGCTCCAGGGAGAGAACCTGGATCTAGCGATCTACAAGCACGAGGTGGAGGCTCGGATCGGGGCGGGGGTGTGCTCCGTGAAGACCCTGACACACAACCACTTGTACTGTGAGCCGCCAGCTCAGCAGCCCTCGGTCACCGCTGGCAAGAAACCAGATGGCATGGACAGTCTGCCTGAGTTCACGGTGAGTCAAGTCAAGTTGCACATTCAAGGATTCAAGGATCATTTATTGTCATTCTGAATCACAGGAAATGCAGCTGAGCCTATTTTCACACAACGCATGACAAACAACACAAAACAAAAGAAAAATCTGTCGTACATTCCTGTAGGACATTTTTTTGAATTATCATCATAAGGAATGTAAACAGCAGCAACAACAACAATTCTCTGGGCAGATAACATGGCCGACATCTTCACATTAAATATTCTACATGAGGAAAACACTGTCCATCAACTGTGACTGTGTTTGAGCACCAAGCATCATGAGGTGAACACAGAGTCCTCCTCCTCTGGTCCTCCTGAGTCATCAAGTGCAGCTTGATCCTGGTCCACGATGGATCCAGGTCTCAGTGAAGACCTCCTGCTGCTTTCATCCATCTTATTTTTCATCAGAAATCATAAACTGTTTCATACTCAAGTGTTTGATTCAAATTTGATTTTTTACTTGTTTTGCTGTGTAAAAAAGTCTCTGTGTTTTCCAGGTGAACATGGGGAATCTGAACTTCTCTCTGGGCAGAGTGCAGTACGACAGCCAGGCCCAGTCGACGTTTCCTCTGGAGGCTCAGGTGGGAGTCGGGGTGGGGGCCTCCATAGTGGCTCTCATTGTGCTCATCATAGTCCTCATATACAGGTGAGCAGACAGCATTTGCTCATTTGAACAGACTGTTCCTTATAGTCCTCAACGGGCTGCTATGTACAGTAGCTGGAATATGATTTTCAGTCATACAAGCTATTCTTTAGGTTTGATTGGTATCTGATTATATCAAAATCTGTCCTGCCGATTCCAATTTTTTGGCAATTCTTTCTATAAGAACTATAATTAACAACAAGGCTCCAGAATTGTTTTCTACCCTGTCCTGAAAAAAATGTCAATCATCCGGAAGTCAGTGTAAACCATCAAAATCTCTAAATGTAATTGTTTTACTTTCCTACTATCAAATATGATTACTTGCATTAAAACACACAATTCAAATGAGTAGCAAATAAATTATTGCATTTTTTATTGTTTTTAAGAAAACCGTGGCATTAGTAGTTTTAGTGATATATTATATATTAAAGCTACTGTTAGGGTGTTCAACATTCATAATTCCCTCTTTAATATCTATTTTATATTGCTGTAAAAACAAATCTCAACTGTATTTATTCAAGTTTCTGGCCGAAAACTACATTTTCCAGATGTCAACGCATCATGACAGCGGTGTCATTTACCTGCTCCTAATGCTCATTTTTACTGATTAGAGCTCGACAATAAAACATCATAGTGCAACTCCATCACTCTGAGCAGCATGATGGGAATGAAATACTACATGAGAAGTCTGATCAAGTGATTTTGGACTTGGAGTTGTGACACATTCAGTTTTCACTAGCGCTGAAGAACTTACACACGTGTGTGTGTGTGTGTGTGTGTGTGTGTGTGTGCTGACATAAAACTAATATGTGGCAATCTTGTGACCATCAAAAACTTCTTCTACTTTTGTCATTCTTCTTCCTCCTGCCTTCTTCTTCTTCCTTTGTTCTTTCTTTCTTCCTTCTCCCTCTTCTGATAACACATTGCTGGTTTATCTTTTAGCCTGAATGTTGTCTGCATCGTTGTCGTTTGTCAGGAGGAAGAGCAAACAGGCCATGAGGGACTACAAGAAGGTGCAGATCCAGCTGGAGAACCTGGAGACCAGTGTGAGAGACCGCTGTAAGAAGGAGTTCACAGGTACACTCCTCTTCACTCTAGGAAATAACATCAGCTCACCAAAATCAGGAACGATACACAAACCGATGCCCTCATTCCCTTTCCTCCCCTCCTTCAGACTTGATGACGGAGATGATGGACGTGTCCAGTGATTTGGTGGGTTCAGGGATCCCCATCCTGGATTACCGGGTGTACGCTGAGCGCATTTTCTTCCCCGGCCACCAGGAGTCGCCACTGAGACGGGATCTGGACGTCCCTGAGAGTCGCAGGCAGACTGTGGAGCAAGGGCTGGTTCAGCTGTCCAATCTGCTCAACAGCAAACTCTTTCTCACCAAGGTCAGACAACAGGGGAATGGATATCTTTAAATCGAGCAGTTTGTCATTGGGAAAGGTCTTTACATCGATATTCCCATCCTCTGTCAGAATTAGGGCCAATAGAATAAATAGAAACTGTAATACAGATTTCCCAATAACTCGCTGTTACAGGTAGAAGTTCATCTTCTTCTTATCCCCGTCGTCTCCACAGTTTATCCACACTCTGGAGGTCCAGCGGACGTTCTCCCCGAGGGACCGGGCCTATGTGGCCTCCCTGCTGACCGTAGCCCTGCACGGTAAACTGGAGTACTTCACGGACATCCTGAAGACACTGCTCAACGATCTAGTGGAACAGTATGTGGCCAAGAACCCCAAGCTGATGCTCAGGAGGTGAGGGCGAAGTCAGGTGGTCAGATCATCGAGGTGTCTTCAGCACATTCGTCCATAAATCGTGTGCTTACTTTCTTCTTTTTCCAGAACGGAATCAGTGGTTGAGAAGCTTTTGACGAACTGGATGTCCATCTGTCTGTTTACCTTTCTGAGGGTATGTCCACTAGTATCTGTGACACCTGGCCAGAGATCAGTGAATAAAGTATTTATTTAGTCAGAAAAACAAACAAAAAAAAACCTTCCATTTGTGCAACATAACTTTTAAAATTTGATTTCCTTTTTATTTATCTAAGGACCTCATTTATTTATCTTTGAACCCTTTCTTGAGCCCCAACATTTTATTTTACGGTTTCTGTTTCTTACTCACAACTTTGGTTCTGCAATGTTGTCCACAACAATCAATAATGTTAATATTTTTATTATACACAAATGGCATCTTTTCAGTTAGAAACACTTCACAATAACTCTCCATTGAAGTAAGTGCATCTTTAGTTCAGCAGAGTGACTCGGTCAGGACGGTCACTGAACGACTCCTAAACTGATGTTCTGTAGTGGGAGGACACTGTTGACCTTTCGTCTCTCATGCTTGGCCAGGAATCCGCAGGGGAGTCGTTCTACATGCTGTTCAGAGCAATAAAGCACCAGGTGGACAAGGGACCTGTGGACGCGGTGACGGGAAAAGCCAAGTACACGCTGAACGACAACAGGCTGCTGCGAGAGGACGTGGAGTACCGCACGCTGGTCAGCACACACATAGACACCATATTAAATATATTCACACAGGCCGGGTTAGTCATGGCAAGGACATGAAGGGAATCTGTTCTGTATGTTACAAAAGACATAGCTGACTCCTTCTCCTTGTTTTTCATGATACTTTTCCTAATTATTTATGGAATTAAAGGGTAACATGTATTTTTCAACCTGGATATGTCTAAATGACTAATGGGGACAGAAATGTATGGAAGGAGAACGCTGCAGCCGCTAAACTGGCTGCAATGTAATCATATCTGGCAACTTCTCACCGTAGATGTACGTCCACTAAAGTGCTTGTTGTTGGCACTGACAGGCTCATGTTGTTATTCTAAGTGTCTGAGAACATTAGGGAAAGAACCCCACAGAGAAATAAAACCTTTTTTCCTTTACTTTGCTTCACCATGTCTCGCACAAGAGAAGTCTCGTTCTTTAGTCTCACCAGAGGTGAATTGCTGCCAGGAGACAACGGTGGAAACCTGAGTGAGAGTCGGAGAGAGGAGTGCCGGTGTTGTCGCTTAGTTGTGTTGGAGGACAGAAAGCGCAGCTTAGTGTGATTTCCACAATGTGGATGTGAGGCGAGATTTCAGAACGAGACTTCTCCTTGAGTGAGACTTTGTTGGACACAATAACAAACAGACGGGATCAAGCTAAAAGGTAAAAGGGAAAGAAAAATGTTTCATTTCTCTGTGGGGTACTTTCCATAATGTTCTCAGACACTTAGAATAACAATATCAGCCTGTCTGTGCCAACAACAAGCACTTTAGTGGACGTACATTGACGGATTACATGGAAGCCCGTTCAGCAGCTGGAGGCCGCAGCCCTCACGCTAATACTGGACCAATAGGACTGAAACTACAGAAAAACATGGGCAAATAGGGTCCAGGTTGAAAAATACCGAAAATCCCCTTCAGGTTAATTGTTGGCCTTCTTTTAGTACTATTCAAATTTGAATGACATAAATTGATATAGTTAGATGACAAGTTTGACTCAAACCAACATTATTTCCAATATTTCCACCACTAACCTGTTCCTAATCTGTCCAGACCCTAAATGTAGCGATGCCGGCGTCAGCCACCAGCGGAGGCGCCACCACGCAGACGGTGCCGGCCAAAGTCCTGGACTGTGACACCATCACCCAAGTGAAGGAGAAACTCCTGGAGCAGACCTGGAAGGGAACTTCCTTCTCCCAGAGGCCACACGTTGACTCGTTACACCTCGGTAAGTCCAGTTCATTTCACAACACCAGGCTTCTCTTTAGTATCAGAGCAGTCCATCACACAAACTAGTAGTGGTGTAACGGACCATAGTAACGGATCCCCCTCACGGTTTGACACGCATGTGAACCGTGGATTAATGACACACTTTAACATTAACCATCACAGTGTAAAAATAAAGTTTTACTGACCAATATTCAGTCAAGTATGTGATCAGGACATCTTTTATGCTTTTCTAGTCTCTGATAACGTTATATTGTTAACAAATAATCTGTGTTTAAACTGACAGGAGAGCTGTTAGCATTAGCAGCACCGCTAACGGCTAACAAACGAAGATTACATTATGATGCGTTCAGGATCTGTTCATTGAAAATGAGTATTGAACAAAGGTAAATTATAACGTTATCATGATGTGTTCAATGTGATCTCGTAAAATGTAGTGTTGGTGAGAAACTTGAATAAATCCAGTTGTTTGAAGTTGTTTTCACAACATAAATAGATATTAGAGATGAATTATGAGCTGTTTACACTAGCTCTAATAATACATCATTAAAACTACTAATGACTAGATTTATTGTAATCCATTAAAATACAATCTTTTACTTCGTTATTATTCAAATTGTGTGTTTTTATGAAGAAAATAAAAGGATCATTTTTGATGTTTTACTGACTTCAGAGCGGTTGAAATGATTTTCTGGATCCTTGTGGACCAGCTGCTATAATCAAACAACAAAGAGATCTGTATCTGTTAATACGGATCATCAATGATCATCAGTTAGTGTCAGCAGCAAAACAACAAGTTCTATTTGCTCTCTTTTTTCTTTTGTGCTGATCCGATCTGTGACCCTAATCAGTTATATGATCTGAACCGCGAGCGTTATGATCCGTTGCACCACTAATGCTTCTAGTGAGTTTGTTTAAATTTTTAGTTTTCTTGAAAAGGCACAAGGTTACTTAACATTTGCTTATTTTTCCCTCCAGAGTGGCGTGCAGGTGTCGCGGGTCACCTGATCTTATCAGATGAGGATCTGACATCGGTAGTGCAAGGCTTGTGGAAGCGCCTCAATACACTGCAGCACTACAAGGTGAGCGCGAGTCACACTACCGCTGAAACACACGCACAACACGCTGTTTGAGGCAGGAAGCGTGAATGTTGTTATGTGACTGTGCGACACAGGTCCCCGACGGAGCGACGGTGGCCCTCGTCCCCAGGAACACCAAGAACCACGTCCACGACAGCCACGATTACATGCCTGGAGAAAGTGAGTGTCCCCACTACAGCATTCAGATATGGATGGTTATTAACGGAACCCTCCTGTAATAAAAGTGTCACCTTTAACAGATATGTTGATCGGCGCTGGTGAAGCTGATATTCTTACCTGGTGATCTGATATTGAAGCCGGCACTTTGCATTACTTAACAAGAAAAGTGTATGCAAAATGGTTCGGAGGGCGTTTCAGATTTTTTTTCAATGCTTTTTTGACTCGGACTTGAGTTCTACAGGATTCAGAATACAGGATCACGACCGTCTCGGAGCAGAAGGTGTTTCAGTTTAATGAGTGACCGTGTTAACTGGTGACTCTCGGCCAAATGCGTCCATGGTTTTGATTGAAGGCTTTCTCGAGGACGCCTTCATGTTCTGTTGGTGTTTTTAACAGCTGCCGTCACTACAGGCAACCACGACGCATTCGGCTGAGAGTCACCAGTTAACACAGTCACTCGTTAAACTGAAACACCGGCAGTGGCTGCCAGCTATTGAATGTGCGATCTGATGGATCGAAGCACTCGTGTTTGTAGCGCCCGTTTTAAAACCTCATGAAGTCTAACCTCTGAGTCTGTGTGTCATGGTGTTTGATGTCACATGACCACAGATAACAAAGTTGGAAGCATCTGGTGACATCTGGCAACTCGCACCAAAACAAACTAGATCGATGAACAGCACTACATTGTAAGGAGGAAAATATGTAGTTTTGAATTTGGGGTGAACTGTTTCTTTAAGTGGAACAACAGAGAAAAAGATTGTGCTCACTGTGCTTACCGAGATGTAGCAGCTCTGCAAGGGATGAACCTAAATACCAAAACAAATGCATACAGGAGGTAAGAAGTGGGGAAACGGAACAAGTTGTTCATTTAGATTACTGTGAAATATTACTTTTGTAGTTTTAACATTGACCAGCAGAGGGTACAAAATCAAAGTATGGTCGTTTGTCAAATAGATTTGCTTGAAATGTGTGTAGATATATTTACTGGAGATTGAACTAAACATATTTTACAATCTGTTAGAATAACAGTTGTATTGATCACTGAGATAGCATTGACTTTGAATAAAGTTGATTCAAAATATAAAATATATTCAATATAATATAATAATATTTAACTCTCCGAACCCCAAAACCCCAGAAAACTTAACCGAAACTAAGTTTAAAATGTTGATATTTTATTCTACGTCTCATTTAAAATCTCGTACCCAATAAACCGTTTGAAGAAACCATATCCTGTAAAAAACAATAAGGAAGCCATGATTGATACGACTGAGACCAAAAGTCACATGACAAAAACATCTTCAGTGGAGATGAGCTTCACAAGGAGCTCAGCAAACTACACTTTCACACACTCACAAGTAGTTTGTCATCGCTGCACACTATGAACAAACACTCATATCCACGTGTGTGATGTGTGCCAAATGTCACCACTGTACTAGCTAATGCAGTCGTGTTTTATCTGAACAGAGCGTGAACAACCAGGGGGGGGCGCTGTTTGACTACAGTTGTTCTGTTTTATTGGGTAGGATGAAGTGGGAGAGATGAGTCACTTAGCAGCAGAGAAAAAGCCAAAAACATGAAATACATTATTTTAATGCTGAGACTGTCTTTGCAGCCCAAAAAATATGAACCATGATTTCACACCGTTTGAAAACACTGAAGTTACCCTAACAAGTGCATGAACACATATATGACCCAAGAAATGACACAAAGTGCGTGCGTATGTGCGTGCGCGCACGGGGACACGGGTGACAGTGTCAGCGGGGCAGGCACCACACCAGACCAGCAAAGAGTTTCAACAACACCTTGATTTAGTGTATTTTAACCCACCAGCCGTACTGACCCAACCGCTGTCCCCTCTCACCAGAGACCCCCATGCTGGACGACGGGGAGGAGGGAGGAGTGAGGCTCTGGCATCTGGTGAAAGCCAGCGAGGAGTCGGAGCTGCCTAAGCACAGAAGGGGCAGCGTGAGGGAGCGGGGCGGCGAGAGGGCCAAGGCCATCCCCGAGATCTACCTCACACGCCTGCTCTCCATGAAGGTAAACCAGATGATCAGAGCCGGTGTTCGTCAAGGCCGTGCCAGATGTGTGTAGATGTAGAAAACAAAAACATTTTTACAACCGATTGCCAACTACAGCAGCAACGATCGGGCTCAACATTGGTGGCGGTTGCTCCTCTGTAGATACACTAAGTAAGAATCAGCGTGAGATTTTTCCAGACCAGCAGAGGAGCTGAGCGAGACGACCACGAGTGCAGATTTGTGAATGCATCTGGTTCTCTCTGCTCCTCCGTCTCAGGGCACGCTGCAGAAGTTCGTGGACGATTTGTTCACGGCGATCCTCAGCACCAGTCGCCCCGTGCCTCTGGCGGTCAAATACTTCTTCGACCTGCTGGACGAGCAGGCTCTGCAGCACAACATCGCGGACCCCGAGACCATCCACATCTGGAAAACCAACAGGTAAACCAGTTGGTCGCTAAAAGGCCAGGACCGGTCTCTGGTCACAAGTTATAAACACATGTTTTTACTATGACCAGTTCTAAAGATGCATTTGATATTACTAGTACTTTTTACTTCTAATATCAGAAATATCTATGGTGGTTCCTCCAAATATCACCAAAGCTCATGAACTCTTTTATCAAAGGGTTATTTAAGATACGATGCACCTTTATTGACCCCCAGCAGGGAAAACCAGACCATATTCAGGTTCCTCTCACACTCGTCGTTTGGTTCATTTGGTCAGAAAAATATAAATAATTATAACATTTAGTTTAGGTGTGAAAGCGCCACCAACTTTCTGGTTGTATTGAAGCATCTCTTCTTTTTTTTCTTTCCTATTACATATTAATATACTTTCATAACCAGTGGGTCACTGTTTTCTTGTCTTGCCAAACAGCTTGCCGCTGCGGTTCTGGATCAACATCCTTAAGAACCCTCAGTTCATCTTCGACGTGCAGACCTCAGACCACGTGGACGCCGTGCTGTCCGTCATCGCCCAGACCTTCATGGACTCCTGCACCATCGCCGACCACAAACTGGGACAGGTGAGCTCGTCGTTTCGAGGCACTTCCAATGTCGTAGAAAACGTAGGTTATACAAATCCAGGACGCATTTCATGCATACGTCTTCCTCGCACAGGACTCCCCCATCAACAAGTTGCTGTACGCCAGAGACATCCCGCGCTACAAGCAGATGGTGGAGAGGTAAGAATATGGCAGCCAGTCACCCCACTGACCCCGGGCATAAAAACATTCTGGAGGAGGGAGGGAGGGAGGCCGAGGACAATCTGTCAGTACCAGACAGAGGGTAGACCAAGCCCGCGAGGCTTCCGTGCATGGATGGTCTGAGAGCAGACTGCTACACTTGCTACTGTCTGCTGCGCTTTAAACTGCAGATTCCACCCGTGGTGTCTTCAAGCTTTGTGACAAATATGCCTGTTTTATAAGCCTTACTAGTCTGATCTAAATTTGAAAAAAAGGATAAAGCTGCAGGAAACAGTGTTCTTTATATTCTATATATTCTATAGATTCATCCAGTTTAACCATTCCAATTTCACTGGCTGATGATTGCTGGCTTCATTTAAAGTAACTTAACAATCAATGTAAGACTTGTATTTGCTGATCTCCAGTTGTTTAAAGTCTCACCATACTGCTGTGATGTCAGAGTGTACTCGGTACACTCTGACATCACTGCACGGTGTTGTCGGATGAGCAATCGGAGTATCACAAGGCTTCTCAGCTTGGCATTAAATGAAATAAAATGAGTCTTTAAGTTAAAGGAGAACATATCATGCTCATTTTCAGGTTCATACTTGTATTTATGGGTCTCTACTAGAACATGTTGACATGCTTTAATGTTTAAAAAACATTATTTTGCTCATACCGTCCGTCTGAATATACCTTTATTCACCCTCTTCTCTGAAACGCTACGTTTAAGTGCCTGTCTCTTTAAGACACCCTCCTGAAAATAAGTCAAATTTTCTCCGATTAGCTTTCGAGAGAAAATGCGGCGTTGACTGAGTTGTCTTTATTCCACAGTGTGTGGGTTGTCAGGCACTTAAGATGTTAGTGCACAAGCACGAAAGTGAGTTTTTCACTATATGTCCCCTTTAAAAGAAGTCTGTCGGGCCGAGTGGTTCCAGAGCAGCTGTACTTCTACATGTACAGCACGTGTACAGTATTTCAATGAACAGCTCATCCGTACAGCAACACTTCTGTTTCCTGCTCATATTTAAAGCTGCTCTAATCATTATTTTATAACGACAACGGCAGAAACAACTATGTGTTCATGTCTTTGGACGAACCCTTTCACCTTACACAGGGAGAATAATCACCCGGAGCAGACTCCAACTTCCAGCCCATATGTAAATACGTCAATGTTTGTGTTCACTGTAGCAAAAAAAATGTTATTGCAGGTTTCAGATGAAAGTATTCAAAACATAAATTCAATTTGTGCCATTAAAATACTGCCATGAAGGGGCTCAAGACACGCAAGGCTTCAAACTTTTGGGTATTTCCTGTAAAACAATAAAATAGCAGAAAGAGCATCTGCTGTTTTTATGTCATCAGTAATTCCATTCAGTTCGTTTCTGTACACGACTCTCCTCTCTCTCTCTGCAGGTACTACGCAGACATCCGTCAGACCATCTCCGCCAGTGACCAGGAGATGAACTCGGCTCTAGCCGAACTCTCTCGTGTACGTTACCTGCTCTTTGTTTTTCGCATTTTAAAAGAGTGAAAGGCTAACGGTTGAACACATGAATCATTTCAGGTCCTGGAAGTTTCCATCTGGGTGGGCGCCTGACAAGCTAGATGTGGAGTGTGAAATAAAATATGAATGACAACCGATGCAGCTTTTAACGGCCTCCCTCTGACGTTTCCTCTCCTCTCTGTTCTTTTTACTCTCACCAAACAGAATTACGCCGCCGAGGTCAACTGTCTCGTGGCTTTACACGAGCTGTACAAGTACATCAACAAATACTACGATCAAGTGAGTATAACGTACAAAGAATATCGTGCTGTGGTTTGGATGCATCTCGACTGCATGTCAAAGTGATTGAATCTCTGAAATCGTGAAAATACAGAACCACATTAGGTAAATAATAATATACATAACATAAGCCCTGCCCCCTGTAGTTACCAAGATACAGTGACACGCTGACATCACATTTTTTAAAAGACGATTCCTTGATTTCAGACTTCTCTGTTCTAGTTGGCGACTGTCGATTATTTTCAGCTGCAAAGAACACTGTCCATGGCAGGTCAGCTGGCTAGTTAGTGAAGCTAACGTTGGCTTCACGAGTAGGTTGACAACACAGTCTCGGGCCAATATTTAATTTCCAGCGGAGTTGTTTTAAAACAAGAATCAAACTGAATCGATCTACTTCACACTTGGCGGGTAGGGCTGCAGATATACCGTCTTAGCATCGACATGCGTCACAGCGAAGGACGTGCGACGTTGGCAAATTAACTCGTCGTGCTATAACTTTTTTTTTACTGCTTGAAAAAACTTTTGCTCTCAAAGTCCACAAGATGGATACATTTTACTTTATGTACAAAATGTAGGATTGTTCATTTTACAAAATTACATAAAAAATATTGCAACGTCAGGTTTTTCCAGTTTCCAGTCCAAGTGTATTACTGGGGACCCGAGGACGTACAGTGAGACGTAACCAGGCACAACCTCCGGTTCTGGCGAGTGAAGCTTATGCAGAAACTTAAAACGTGCATTCTCTCTACTGACCAGCAGGGGGCGACTCCTCTGGTTGCAAAAATAAGTCGGGTTGTATAGAAGTCTATGAGAAAATGACTCTACTTCTCTCTTGATTTATTCCCTCAGTAAACATTGTAAACATGAGTTTATGGTCTCAATCTCTAGTTCCAAGTCTTCTTCAATACAGCGTGATGTTCATTTAGTAAACTATGGTCCATTTCGAGTCAAATAGACAATAAAACCATAAAGCAGGGTATGCTTTAGGGCGGGCTTACTGTGATTGACAGGTCACTGACACTACGTCACTCCTCCGCATTCCAAATGTGGTAACTTCAGTTCATTGGTTGCAAAAACAACAACATGGCGGCGGCTGTAATCCAAGATGGCGACGGCAAACTTGCTGAACTCGAGGCTTCAAAACAGCAGTCCACAAACCAATGGGTGACGTCACCATGACTACGTCCACTTGTACAGTCTAGTTTCAACCCTTGAACTTTGTATTTATTCGCCTTGATGTCACCATTGTCATAAGAAAACTAGCCAGGAATGCAGACCAATACTCTTGTTAAATTTAATGTAAGCTATAAAATGACACCGCCCTCCAAACTCTTTAAACGCAGAGTATCTCTCTTACTCAAGCACACTGTTTCAAAGTGTAGACACTGGGGGAAGGGTTTAGCTAAGGCCAATTATATATGCGTTGCTCAAATCCCCTCAGCCTTTCACTTCCACTCATAAAAGGATAAGCCTATTGAGGTAATTACACAATACTTCCTAAATGTTGGCCGAACCTAATGGCTTCCATCCTGTCAGATCATCACAGCCCTGGAGGAGGACGCCACTGCCCAGAAGATGCAGCTCGGTTACAGACTCCAACAGGTCGCTGCCGCCGTAGAAAACAAAGTCACCGACCTATGACCCAAAGGACGGGGTACAATTCATCCTTTAACCTTGAAGTGATGGACGATGATGGGGACGAAGATTCTGTCTCCCGGAGAAAAGTCCTCCCTCGTTTTTTCCAAGATGGAGGACAACGGATCATTGTGGCACATGCTGTGATTTTGCTGTCATTTTGACGGACTGATTTTTAGCGAAGGGACAAATGATCTCAACAGGATCACTGATACTGGGCCATGTTTCCTGTCCCGTGTCCAGGAGGTACAGTAAGACCCCCTTGGAACTTCCACAGGTCCTAACACTGGGAGGAAAGTGACACAGCTGGGGGGGAGGACCTGTGAAATGAAGCACATTAAAACAAAGGGATTTCATGACACCTCTCGTAAGGATTTCCCATGTTGCATTCAGACTAAAGGGAGACACAATATGAGAAGCGATCCTTCTGTTTTTTCTTCCGACTCTACGCGTCTCGGTGGACTTTTTTCTGACCAACTGCACTGAACAGTCCTGCAAGCTTCCAGCTCCACGTGTTAGTCCTCTGCTGTAGGCGTGCTAGTTGAAGAAACCGTTGGACGAGGAGGGAAAAGGGAAGAATTAGGACTTAAATGTCGACAGCTGTGTAGTTTTCCTCCGATGTGTCAAAGTCTTACATGAAGGACGAAGCGATAATGGCAGAGCACCCTGGAGGCCTGTCCTATTGGAAAACATGTTTTCATTCTGCTTTTATCTTCCTTAAATCATTCTACGAGTCTTACTCTTTGACCTTTTATTAGCTGTTGTTGGGCAGCTTGTTGTCCTGTATAAACCGTTTCCCTTTTTTAAAGCTTCACATCGCCACTTGTGCTTTTACCGCAATGTCTACATGCTGCCTGTAGTTTGAACTGAACACCGGCATTTTGTGAAAGCGTTGATTTCATTTGGTTGAGGATGTGGTACACAAATACTATGATGACCTACTGCTATTGTGAATGTTCCTTTTCTTAGGCACAGATGTTTATCCAGTTTGCAGATGATGTATTACCCCGGACAATTTGGCGGAGGAACTTACAGCTAACTCGTTAAACTGATCCGTCCTTAGAAACCCACAAAGTGAAATGAATTACATGCAGACAAAACCCTTCACAGCTGTACCGTAGACTGTACTAATTCAATGAAAACAGATCTTATATTGTATGAAAGATCAAGCCGGACTTTTTGGATAAGAAATGCACAAATAGATGAATACTGTCTAAAGGAATTGAGGAATTAGTAGGTTTTACTGCCTCTTCAGTATTTATTTCCCTTCCTCATTTATTATTTGTGTAATTTATTTCCCTTCAACATGATGCGTTTGTGTGGTTGACAGTATTTGAGGTGACTGTAAAATACATGTTGCAGAATTACATCGCTACATATTTATACAGTTACCTTGCATATAGGTGCATTTCACAAATGTGTTTAAATAGCTTTGTCCAATTCATTTTTAATTCTTTTTTTTAAATTTATTTAAGTCTGATTTGATCTTCCATATTAATAAGATGTCGCTACTGCCTATACTTTATGTTCTGCTTTTGGATTTCCACACAGCCAGTTCCCAAAAGCTTGGTTATGTCTTCCCCCACTTAATTACACATTTGGCTATTGAAATGTAGTCTATAACTATTACTAGTACCTTTTTAATATTATGGGCTTCTATTGATACTGAACAATATCAAGGAAACAGCTCCCTCCATTGGATGGTTGTTACCCACCAACTCTGCCTCTGATTGGCTTTCCCTGATGTCCTTACCCTAAACTGACCTAATCTAACTACTCATGCCTAAACCTAACCCAGCCAACCAACAAAGGCAACGATTACTAAGAGGAGAGTGGTGCGTCGTGCCTTCACCAATAGGAAACAAAATATTTGGAAAGTGCGATGACATCATTCTGCAATAATAATTAGCAATGTGCTTCTTTTTGCAACAATGGGCCTTCGGAATAATGTGCATTTGGTTTCAGGAGAACGGGCTTCCCTCCTCAGTGGGACATTTTTTGGACTGTCTAGTTTTCAGAATAATGGACTTTTGGAACAATCGTGTGCCAGATTTTGAACCGCGTTCAGCAAAGCTGCACTTATTCTTCCATCTTTTAGAAAGTCCTCCCTTCCTCTCAAGACTTAAATCAGACAATATGTTTAATAAACAAAGGTGCCACATGTGAAAGTCTTTTACTAGTTTTTTCAAATTTAATTTATTTTGTATTTATTATCTATTGCATATGTTGTTGGTTATTATTTTCCGATACATGTAATAATACTGCTTATGCCCCTCTGAATCTGAGAAGATGTGTATTTTTTAAAGAGAAAGCAAGGGACCTTTTTTTACCTCATGGTGTTTTCTTTTTGTCCGTTGTCCTACTCTCAAGTCTAAATCAAATTCACATCAGCTTTCCTGAAATTCTGAAAGTTTCAATCTCTCCTTTTATATTTTGCATCCATTTTAGAAGCAAAAGAGAAATATGATTTTTAACTTTGCATTCAAACACCATTCTTTGCACATTAGTGTTGCTTGTGTCTTACTTGTGTATGCAAAGCTCAGATGTGTGTACCATTTTCCTGTAGATGCATTCTGCTGTTAACTACTCCTGACTTAAGTGTTCTCTGACTAATTGATAGGATGAACCTAACGCCGACTTAATGTGACGCAATAAAGTGGTCCCGATGTTAATGAATGTCTCAAGTTATCTTCTTCTTACTTAATGCAGTGGAGAGTGTTGATGGTGCCTCGTCGTCAGTCCGCTGCTGATCCAGCTGAGAAAAACAAATGAAATCCTTTGAATCAAAAAAGCGAAACAAATGACTGCATTTTAAGTATTTTTCAAAATGACACAGGCCAACTTATTGACGTAGAAAAAGATATCTTGCGGAGAGTTGTTTTTTAGCGCCACCTACGAATGTCCAGCAACACAAGGGATCAGTGCGTCTGCAGTGCAGAACTACTTGGTTAGGTTTAGAAAAAGATCGGAGTTCAAATAAATGTTTGTTAGGTAACTCACGTAGATGAAAGTTAGCTTGTAAGTACGCAAGTTGCATAACAAAAGTAAACCTCATTGGCTTTTTGTCGAGGGAACCAGTTTGATGCTATAACTTCCTGTTGGCCTACAAAAATACCTCATCCCTGCAGCGTTCTACAATACCATGAGATAGACTTTATTGTCCTGAAAAAAGTCTTGGACACATAAATCACTGCTGTATTAGAAAATGCTAAATAACATGGTGCATATGCTAGTTCACTTGCGTGCGTGCACACAAACGCACAATGCCAAAACAGTACATGCATAGACTGTTATAAAATAATAAATCGCACACTGCCCATTGTACGACACACCAGTAGTCCTCATAACAGTATAATAATGGTAATAGTACAGTGTAGCTGACGCCCGGGTATCTAGAAGAGTCGACCTGGGGTGTGTTCCAGTCACGGATTACCACAGGTGAGTGGTCTGCCAAAAAGTGCTAATGAATTAGCATTGCTAGCTTAGTCCTCCTAGTGTCCCACTACTAGGCTACTATAGCAGCTAGCTGGGTACAGATGGTGTTAACACATGTGTATGGTGTCAACGTTGTCTAGTTTTTACTCTGCGTCACTAGTTCACAGTATTCCTTCACATCGTATAACAGATATGAGGCCAAACAGCAGTGGATTTAAAAGGTTTTTATGCAGCCAATGAGCTGCAGTGAGCCCTATTAGTAAAGAGAATACTATGAATTCAGTCATTATTGTTTCTGTACCGTATACGGAGATACGAAGCGAAAGGTCTTGCAGTGAAAATTACACACTCCTACTAAACCATCTGCCGTCGATGGTGTGAGTGGTGACGATCTGTGTTTTTTTCTTTTTCTTGTGGCTGGAGGCTGATGGAATCTCAAATCTGGCACCCTTTAAAATGATGTGCGTGTGTGTAACCATGTGTAGTCCATGGATATGTGTCCACGCTATATATCTTATGATAAAGAAACAAGATGATCAACCAGCTGCCCTCACGCTTTTATTTCCTTTCCAGTGTTTTATGATAAATGTCTGATTATATAACGAAATATGAATTTAGTGTGACGTTTCAGAGTAAAACTGGAACAAAAACATGAGGCAAACCTCTCTTAGCACCTGATATTTATCCCCTACTAACCCAGTGATCTAGATCCATGCAGGTGCTGTTTGGATGTCTCTCAGCATACACACACACACACACACACGCACACACGCTTCCTGCTCCTTTGGGAAGTGTCTTATTAAAGCTCTTTAAAAATGGCAAACAGTACCAGCCAGCTCAGGCTTTTGAGCTTAAGACTGGACCAGTGACGTGCGGTTCGTGGCTAGTGAGGCACTGACTCAGATTTACAAATATATGAACCTAATAGAGGAGCTTAAATCACCATTCAATTGGCAGCTTGAACATTGACTCCTGGTTGTTTTTCATATCGGCATTCTTTACGCACACCAGTGGTGGGTCGTCAGGGCCTGCAAGGCCTTCTCTGCTGGCCTAAACAGAATCACAAAGTTATAGCTATTTTATAATTTAATAATTTTTCACAAATACACTACATGTATTGTAATTATTTTTCCCATTAGCTTATTTTCTCATTGCACAGCTCCTGTCTTCATCTGTTGCTCTGCTTCCAGCACAGCTTGTTTTAAGGAGAGCTTTCATTACACAAACTAATTAACACCACCAACATTTTGCATTTAGCAGCAACATGTTCTATATAGATACAAATAAAAGTACAAGTCAAAGAACAAATATCCTCAAGTTTGACTTTTTTATTTTCTGAAAGTATTTTGGGTTCCAGTCCTGAAAAAAAAAAAAAAAAGAAGTCTCCTGCCAACAATTTTTTTGGTTCACCTGTTTCACAGATGGAAAAAAACAACTTCGAAATTTTTTTAATGTGAAAAACTATACTGGTAAAAATTGTTTTTAAGTCATAAACACAGGAGAGAAAACTGAGACCAGAATTTTTTTTCTTCTCAATTTCCTCCCAGGGCTTCCGTACATCCTCCTGTTCTGGTAAAGCATTTTGCAGGGAGCCAGTCGGCTGATTGATTGACACGTCTCTCCTTAACTGAGACACGGACAGGGACCCTTCCTGCCTACACTAGTCGCTCATAGCTGGACAAACTGTCAGTGGTCTTCGCTGTGAAAAGTGACAAAAAACAACAACATAGAAACAGTTGCCCCTAGTGGCAACAGGAAGTAATGGGTTGTGTACTTTGACGTCCTGCTCCTCACAGATTAATCAGATTCTTAATCAACTTCTTAATCATTGCAGCAAAAACACACTGTGGCCACGAGCCACGGAGTCCAGGCTGATCCTGTAGGTGGATCAGGACTCTGGTCGATCTGCTTGTTGGATTTCAGACTCGTGGCTCTTGTGGTCCGACGGTGGCTGGGTGTTGGACTGTGACGGGTCCGCCAGCTCCCGCGGTTTAGTCCTGGACTGAACAATGGGTCTCTGGTAAAGAGGGGTGGAGTAGAAGAGGTCAACGCACAGATTAACACATGGGATCGACCCCTTCGAGCGCCAATGTCTAATGCGTAACGTCACAGAGAAGAAAAAGATGGATGCCCAATTAAAAAAAAAAAAGCTCCTCAGCTGACCTTCGTTCTAATGACTTTATTGTGATACTTGATATCTTGTTGGACGGGGATCCCATTCTCAAGCCCGAGGTTTAGGAATGTGTGATCCCCGCGGCCCAAAAGGTCAAACTCCCCTTGAGACGGGGACGGGGGGATTCAGCAGCTGTCACTCCCTCTCCTCCGTCGGTGTGGCCTCATGCCACACTCCTCATCATTTAGCCCAGCTCAGATCTCTGTTGAGGCTTTCCCACAGTAGCAGACAGAGAGAAATGGAGGCTTAGCGAGACAGAGAGAGAGAGGGAGAGAGAGAGAGACAAACCAGACCAGGAGTGACTGGAGGACATCAATGACACAGTGAAGCAGGTAAAGGCCTGGCAGGCAGTTGGATTAGGAGTCTGAAGGAGGGACGGCCATGTTTAGACCCTGCTGACTGGCGTTCCCAGCCCCCCCCACACACCTCTCAGCTGCTCAACTGTTTTCAAGGGGTGCAACACTGAAAGTGCTCCAGTTTCACTTGCAAGATTTCATCCACCACTTTCTTAAATCAAGGTACCATCTCTTTGAATCCCTCCACACGTTGCATCTGCTGGACTGCACCATGCAGAGGAGTCCCCACTCCACGTACAACACTGCTCAGCAGACTCACGCGTAAGTATGACAAATAAAAATGGGATACTGTAGAAAACATTTTCTGATTGTACTTGAAACACTGGAAGCAAGCGGATCATTTAACTGTGGACAGCGTGTGTTTTAAACCTGAAACACACAACTCGACTAAATGCAACTTGGCTGGTGAACTTATTTTTTGCCATGGCAATAGCAATGCAGTGGAGCAGTTAAGTTTAGCAACGCACAAATAAAGCATGCTGATATTATTTTAGACATCACAGAGGTGACTTAAAGCTGCAGTTGGTAACTTTGATGAAAATAACGTTTTTTGTCTTATTTGCTCAGACTGTCGCTGTATCCTGACAGAAATACATGAGACAGAAAATCTGTGAATAGAATCAGGCTCCTCTGTTCTGATTGGTTGTTTTTCTACAGGTACGGTGGAAATTTGCAAATGCACTAAAAAAGGAGCACAAAAAGAGGCAGAGCAACTTGGTGTTCATGTGCTTGTGTCAGGATTTAGTGACAGTTTGACCGGGCGTTAATTCAATACGATAATTTATCGTGTGTCGTGATTGATTCCTACATCAAGATATCGTGATACACACGTTCTTTAAATTCATAACATGCACATACCAACTTAAATCTCTCAGAAAATCATTACCACGCATTGAAATGCAATTTACAATCAGTTTGCACAAAAGTTCTTAATTAATTAAGAAAATAGTCAGTGCACAGGAGTAAACAAAAATAGGCTTTACCATGTGGTTATTTCATAGGGACTATAAATGTATTGAGTTACCAGAAATCTTCAATTTTTCTATTGAAGTTATCTACTGTAGCTTTGAATGTTAGTTGAGAGTTTCAGACAGGATATCAAAGTGTCACCAGTCTTATGCACAGAGAAAAAAAAGAAAGCCATCAATTGTTGAAGTGAGCAAAATTCCACATTGTGCACTAAACCTAAAAACAAGGGTGCCATACCGCACACCAACCTCCACTGCATGTCCCTCCAGCCACACAGAAACCTGATCTGTGTTCAGTATTCTCAGCCATGACGTGACCCCAGCCGTCGCTACAGTCGATACCCACAGCAGCTGGGAGGGAGAGTTATCAGGTTGCGTGAACGCACGCTGCAAAATGATTTACAGTTGAGTCAGAAATAGTGCAACTTCCGATGCCGAGTGTCCACTCTCAGCCAGGCGGTCGGACAAGTTTCCATGACAAGACCATGTGGAAACTCTAAAAGTAGTTCAACTCTCCCGGCTGCCCCCAGCAACTCGACACTGACACACACACACACTGTAAGCAGAGGATGCACAGGCAGTAATGAGACTATGGAAGTTTTCATGTGACGTCAGTGTGTGTTTGTTTTGTAGGTCGTCTAATAACTTTGAGGCCCTAGGACACCATGAGCAGCTGGATCCTAAGGACAGTCAAGACTCTGAGGACCCAGGAGAATACTGTTCTGGTACATCAGAGCCTCTTAACTCACTCCATCATCTGCCGATGTACCCATGTGCGAACAACGGCATGCGTTGAATGTCGAAGTTTCTGAACCAAAGAGGTTTCATAAATACGTTTCACATCAGCCTTGTAAAACACAATGCCAAATGATTAAAGTTGTGAAATGATTGGTTAGGGTTTGGCGACAAAACTACTTGCGGTTGGAAATAACTTCATGGTTTGTGTTGAAACGATAACGTTACGTAATGACTGTAAATAAACAACAACCGCTACATTAAACGACAATATGTAAAAAAATGTAAAATCATAGTTTCACATGGGACACAAACAGTGGTTACCTTAGTGAAAGTCCTGCGTTTACAACCAAACCCACTCGCCGACCCGCCCTTTGTGGACTGTCTTGATTCTTATACTCGTTATTATGCCAAGTTAATCTCAACAACGTTCGCTCAATATACAAAACATCTACATTCAACGTATCCGTAATTTGCAGAAACATAGGAGTCAAAATGTCTTCCTGGCGACTGGGCAGTTGTTACCATTGGTGATTATAGAATTGACATTTCACATTTCACATTTCAGGACATTTCACAGCGTGAACACACTATACTATTATATATCACTAGAACCCCCCGCATCCTTTTGAACCTGCCATTTTGACCTCTTGCCAGCTGTGCAGGTCTCTGCCTGTTCCTCTCCAAAGCAGATAAACTGCTGAGTGTGTGATACCACACATCCCTGACATAGTAATAGATCCTACACCACCATATATATAT